AGGAGCACCTCATTCCCTACAGCCGTATTAAGGGTTCGGGCTGACACCACAGACCCCATGAAATATCAGCGTCATTTTCAAATCATTCAAGCACTTCATCCTAAGTCAATACCACGCATCGCACTAACGGCACGCGATGAAAGTGATTTATTAATTTACTGGACAGCTAATAATAATGAATTATAAATATATAAATTTAATGACAAATGAAAAGAAAAATAAAAAATAAAAAACGTATTCCAAACACGCGAAAAGTAATAGTCAGAAGGACAGATAACCATTGGATATCTGTTTAAAGCCCAGGCATTTCATCACAGTTAAGCAATGTTATCAATGATTACACGATAAAATCAATGAATCATCGTCAGCAGGCCAGATTTCTTACGTATGATGTATGAGACTTGAAATACAGGGAATGTAGCAAGTGCTAATGCTGCATTATTGCCATCTGTTGCTTGACCACTGACACGGTAACCGTCTCGTAACTAATGCTTGACCCCACTGCTGTACCAGACTGTGAACTGTGGTTGGAGTTGACTGGTTTATGACAGTGCCATCAAAGGTCAGAACTATAGTGAAAAGTTAATGTCAGGTGAATTACCACCTTTATGAGCTTCATCATCCTGCATATCAGGCGCCTCGAGCATGAAAACAAAACGACCAGAAAAAAGTCATATGGATGTCGATTAGCCCACTGATACGCACCACTGGAAATCAGCCATCTGAATAAAGGTTTAATTGACAATTGGCAGATTCGTGAAAGTGTAAAAAATCAACGGTTTTGTACAAATACATGCCATGGTGGTAATTTGTGTGTTGGTTGATGACGAATCGAAAAATAGAATGCGTGCAACGCAGCCAAAGATTAGTGTGACAGCAAGAACGAGTAACCCGTGTCTGACTGAACAATCAAAATATTCGTATTTATTAATAACTCTGTGGAAAGCGCAGAGATATATGCAAGTCAGTTAAGAAAAAGTGTTTACCTAAAATACGTACTTGCCAAGCTTCTGCATTGTGACTCAACATCCAATTTTCATAGTACGTCTAACAAGCGATAATCGAAACTAATGAAGCAGGGTGTGGCCTGATACAACGGAAGTTTTCTGAAAATGTTATGAGAGGTCAGACCGTAAGATTTATTATCGAAGCGCTACGCAACTATGCTAATCAATCTTCCTCATCCCCAGCACTGGGCATTTTTAAAATTCACCTCCGCGTCTATGCAAAAACTGAATCATACATAGGATTTGGGATCCAGCAGATGGTTCGGACTCGCAGAACGAGAAGACGGAATCCCTTTGAATCGATTCTCTAATGTTAACGCACACGTTTAGATATTTATCCGTATTTGTTTCCCATCGACCAATCGCCCTCTTCCACATCATTCTTCCTTTCTTGTTCCTTTAACACGCATCTTGTTTGCGGTTGTTTATTTGAGCATTATATGCAAATTGCAATATCAGTGAATCATGATCGCTTAAATGACAGTCGATGCTGGTCGTACGTGCTGTTTTCCCTAAATAAAGCAGTAAGTTCTGTTGATTGATTGAAAAGAGATTGCACAGAGTTATAGAACATAAAATGTCTGAGCGTGTATCAGTAAGGATTTCACGTTTGATGTGGACACAAAGCAAAGGGAGCCCGCCTGTGGAGGGGAATAAGGGGAAGATGAGAGGGAACGAGGACGAAAAGCGTAGAACCAACAGGAGAATCGAAAACAGAAACAGAAGGTGGAAATGGAGACGGTGAAAGAAATTCATAGCACTTGTCAGCTGTCCGTTAAATACGTGTTTCGTCTGATTCAGACTAAGGCTAACTTGCGCTTTTTGCATCAGGAAATGAACGAGAAGGAAAAGAATAGGAAAAAGGAGATCAAAATGAGGATACGGAGACAGAAAGGAAAAGGAGAAAAAGCAGAAGGAGAAGACGAAGGAAAAAGGGAAGGAGAAGATGAGAACGACGAGACAGGCGAAGAATTAGACGAAGATGAAGAAAGTTTAGCTACGCGTCGTTCAGGTCGCTCACAGTAATGATTCCGTAGCCCGTACCTACTAAAAAACAAAAGCATATAATATTTTATAAAATTACAAACTTTTGCCACTTTTAAATCCGCCTTTCATACGATCGTGATGACTGACAGTGACCGACGAAGACGACAAGCCACAGACGAGTGACGACGACTGACCGATCGGGAAAGCAGCGCATACTTGATGGATGGAATCTCGTCAACGCCAGGGAGGAAACGAAATGCTGATTACAAATCAACAACGCAAGAAAGGTGGAGGGGGCTCGACGTAGAATCAGCTATCGGAACTCGTGTATCGATCCGATCCGATCCGATCCGATCCGCCCGTTGACGCGGGGGACGATTGCTAATTGCTAACTAAGCGAATGCCCCATGATCGATACGAAAATCGTAGTGATGTATTTAATTAATGATTGGCAGCTGCTGGCCTCGTCGTCGGTAACAACATCTCGTTCGGCAAAGCATGGGACGAGCGGCATCGACTCCTGTGGCAATGCAGCGCGTTCGAAAAGGCTCAACGCATCCTCAGTCGTTCCTCGACTAGCGTGTTCAAAAACAGCCAATACCAGATCTATTTACCGTCAGTTCCGCTGACTCGTACGGCGTTGTCGCACCGTCCCCTTGCCTCTCATGGCCTACGGGACCGTTTAAGCAGCCCCACACGCCAAGCCACTTTAGCCCTACAGTAAATGGCTCAAAAAACAGCACCGCTCCGTTAAGTTGAACAAAATTATGTACAAATACTAACGGACACACCTCTGTCCGTAGGCATAGATATATTCATAATACCTTCCACATATACAGCATTTACTTTGCAAACGCTACGCAATAAGCTGACTGTGCAATCTGTATCACGCCACACATACCACGTCTAAACCGCTTGCCTGTCGATGATAATTTAAGAGAACGAATCAACCTGTAATTAATTTTTTGTCTTGCTGCGTAAGTACTTCGACTCATTAAGAACGGCACGCAGACACCGTGAAGTAAAAAGTTTAACGTCTAGCGAAGTTAAATAAAACTGTAAGAAATCAAATAAAATTTTGACCTTGTTTAATAAAACTTTCTTAGTTTACGTTGTGCTACAGACGGTTTCAAAGTAACCACAAAAATCTGTGACGTATGGAAAGAATTTATAAATTGTAATCAATCATTCATATTATTCCCATGATTCAAGGAAACAGTAGACTACGAGGTGTAAAATTCTTTATTCACAAACGAGTTAAGATACTGCTTATCAGCGTTCACCCTTATGATATAATTTCGTGTAGCAAGAACGAAGAAGTTGAAATGGTAATGGTCCAGATTCATTGAAAGATGAGCCGTTAAATCTTTAGACGGCACGAAGGAAAATTTCCAGGTAGAATGGTAGAATGCCGAAATTATGTAGCAAAATCTTTGTCAAGCATTCACTTTGACTCGAATCGAAAGAAGCCGACGTTGGAGATCATAGCCTCATATCTAACTGTACAGAACTACCTCATTAAACGTGGTAAAAACCGTAATGGCGATTAGCTGGGTGACAAGAGTGAAAAAACCTTATGAAAAGAGCAGATAACATATGCGAAGTTAAGTCATCGACTGTAACCTCCCACTGAGCCTCATGTTCTAGGCTTACAGGCATCTGTGGATGCGTTTTTGAAAGACTTGCACACAGCATGAAGCTGTGGATTAAAAAAATTTGCCTTAGCTACTCGAATTGGATCGCGACATATTTCAGCCCAAACGCACCATGTTCAAAGCACAGCATACCCTCGGTAGCATTATGGCAAACCGAAAGGTTTCCACTTTCAAATGACTACTGGCCGCTCGGATATTCGAAACGAACACCGTCATGGTTCACAAGCTAATCATGCGCTCACACGCTTGACATGAAACTCGGAAAGGATGCACCCCAGTTAGAAAGAAAAACTTGTTCTGTGGAAGCAATGCGTCACAGAACGAGGTTGAGGTTGAGGTTGAGCGAAGAGTCAATTTGACACGTGACCACCGTTCGAAGGGTTGATGGCGCAACGAATTCGCCGCGTCATTGGCATGCCTCACGATTGTGACCATCAACACTGCTTTAACAGGCTTCAATGAAATTCCGGGTCTCTGTACTCACTCCACTTCAGTCCATCACACGCCATGTCCGCCATGAGACTCAGACAATGCTTCCTCGACCGTTTGTATCCGTGATCTGCCGACCCAAATACACTTCATCATCAGCTCTGACGGTGTCCCAGCAGACGTTGATTGGTTGACGTTCATATTAATGGAAGCGATACTGTCTGGTCGACATCTGACCACGTGCCACCGCCAACGCAGCCTAGGTACTTCCAAGACAGAGAGTGGAGCTGAATCGTACGTACTGTAACTGACTCTATCGTAGCATTAAATATTTGGTCGATAAGTCGTACATACGAGATGATTAATAAACACACGTGGTCGAAAGATTCCAGTTTCGTCAGCTCCTAGACTCTTACGGCCCAATCGATATATCTGTAAGGACGGTCAGAGAGGGTGGCGGCCCGCACGACCTTCCGTGGTGCCCACGTTGACTTGCAATATTGGAAGAAAGCCACAAGGCTGTTGCTATGCGAACCGCAATTTCAGCTTCAAACTGTCCATTGGGAAGAACGGAGATGCAAAAGTGACTGGAACACATGAGGACGGGTTATTGTTTGCGATTCTTCTCCGAGACCGTGTAAAGGGTACATATCAGCGAACTGCAATGAGGTCAGGTGTCGGTAAACCGGGCGTTTGTGACGGCTACAAAATGAATATTTCTCGCCAAGGAAACTGTCGCGATTCCCACCTCACTTCAGTTTTACAGAACAAATAACGAGGATACAATTGAGAGGTGTGCAACGGCCAGATTCGAGGCTACTAGATCAACGATCCACATGACCAAAAATTCAACGCCCGACTTACACATGTTCGATTTTAGTTTGACGCTTGCCGACCAACGGCGACAAAACAATATTTTAGCTCATGGCATGCTGCTATCTATGTAAAACTTTACTTTATTCACCTACCTTGAAAAAGTACAGAAAGGGGGACAAGAGGAACTAACACCCAATTTAATAACAGGTATGATCTTTAAAAGAAAACCACACAAAGTGATAGCTGTGATAACAAAACAACTTTACATTTCAATTACTGATAGCGGATTTACAAGCGAAAGTGCATCGTCCCTTTGCTTGTAGTTGACAAAGGGGACCATTTGAGCTGTTCATGACTACAAGGTGTGCTTAAGCGCCTACCACATCGGATACCATCCGTAAGAAAATCAAATACAACATCAGCAATCGATGCTGTGAGGTAGCCATCAAGAATAGCAGCTTTCCTATTTCAATTATAGATACAGAACTTACACAGCAAATAGAACCGTCAAACGAGGCCTCTAAACTTCGAAACTGTTTAGTCACTCTGAGGTTCGAAAATCTATGTGTTAACGTGAAAAGGAATCATTCGTTGTTAGGGCCTCAACTTCACGATGATGTTGGGAACAACTACAGCCAAATCGTTCATGATGCCGTTCATGCGAAGTACAGCATTTTTGCACGGGGTCAAAAATCTGTTGCTAATTTTCATTATTATTTAAAATTCTTCTCGATACTCAATTTGATCAGTAACGAGTTTACGAACGGTGGCAACATGGCTATTATGATTATTTAAATGTCTTACTTTCGGGACTGACGATCAACCGCTTCAGTCGTAAATTTGTTTTTGTCGTAGGCGACACAGACGGCGTTCACGAAAGACAGTAGATCAATTAGCCTCAATCGATCTGTGCACAAAATTGAGGTAGCCCCATGAGTAGGAAAAACTGGTTTAATAAGGACGAGCAATCATACGTTGACAGTTTTCGGCTAACAGTTTGCACCGCATTACCGTTGTTTCTCTGATCTGTTCAATTCACGTTCGTAAAATGACCGATTTCCTCAGCCGCATTCTCCTTAAGCTCAATACTCGCATACAGTACCAAATTGCAACAAAATAAAAAGCTGCGTCAACGTCGAAAGAAGGCCAATGATTAAAGGGCAGCAAGACAGAGCATATTCATCTTGGTTGTTCTTCCAATCAGACAAGCCAATTACGTGCCATTATTTTCACTGATCTGAGGGAATCGCTCACGTGACTCTGCAAAAGTCTTAAAATTTCAGGGGAACAATTTTTGAGGGCCAAATGTCTTTAACGTGTAATAAAAAAGTTCGCGTTTATTACTGTATAACAGCTATAAGAGCTACTGTTTTTCAGTGGCATTGCCTCACCTCGCATATACAACAGTGCACATGGAACAGTGATGAAAACATAAGGACACAAATACGTCACTAATGACCTAAGCACGATTTTCAACATGAAGATTCTGCCTAAACTTGGCTTTTGGATCCAAGATTATTGGAACACTCAAGGAATGTAGCAGGTGAGCAAAGATATATCAAATCTACGAAAGGTCGCTGTTCTCGCCGGTATGCAGATAAAGTGAAATTTCTTTGAGTCAAGATATGGTCGATTATCACCGTTCTAATCAGCGATGAGGCAACATCCTGGAAACGGAGTCCCTCAAAAGCGCTAGTGATCCAATGCAATGGAATAAGACGACAGAAGAGCCCCGATATATGCCAGAGGTAGGTAATCGTCGGGATGATGTAGGTTCGCAGCGATTCCTCGATTCTATAAATGGCGCACGATGTGAGAAGCGGTATTCCGACAAAACACCATAATTAAGAACGAATATTCTAGAAAATGCGGGTCAACCCGGACTTGAAAACCTCGTATGACGCTGTGATCCCAACTCCAGCATCTCACTATTCAAGATCACTTCATGAGCGTGCTGTGCCTCAGCCTCTACTTAGACAAACGGAGTTATCCCACCGGCCATGCTCCAGATCATACAACTGGACCCATTTTGGAAGGCTGGGTCAGCGTTTCTTTGTTAATGGGTGGTTTGGTTCCATTTCA